CGTGAGCGTTTGTGCAGGGAGTGTGTCCAATGATGCATGTTGCTTCTCTACTACTGCATTGTGCAGTGGGACAAATGTACCTGAAGAACTTGGGTTAGTTCTGTGAAATCTAGTAGGAATGTTAATACTTCATAAAAATAATCATGGCAATCCAGGACGTGTGATGTAAGCTAAGTGTGGGACTTAAAATTTGGAACTCGTCAACAGCGGATGACAATCTTCTGGTCACTCGCGGCACCGATCCGCAGCACCCTATACGTTATTCTCCCATACATAGACGGGAGCCTCATTTCAGAACCTATCTTCTGAGTGTTTTATTCGGGGGATTTTTCTGTGCCTTTTACCGTTTTATCACATACCCATCTCATTCTCCTGCTGAGTCACCCTGAGTCAGCCGTCTTTCTATCCAAATAACGAGTTGAACAAACTGATGGACAGGACAGGTTTTCTCCTGGTACCACTATTTCTAATTGGCTTGAGGCTTTGGCGCTACTTTGCATAAGCCGGCATTATTTAATCGTTCTGTTTATCTTTGACTGCTATGTTAGCAGTCACTACATTCTACATCCCCGTTAGTCCCATTCCTTTATTTGATTATCAGCCATGGATCTTTTACAGTATACTTCTGCTCGAATGACCCATAAGTCGTGCAACGCCTTCAAGGCCTCTTTTCTAGCGAGTCATTGTTGCTCTTCGACTCTGCTTTGACTCGACTGCGATAAACATCTCGCGCGTTTCACAGCACCAATTCTGTTTCATTGGGAACATAACACTGAGTTACTGCAAAAAGCAGCCGAGCAAGAAAGCCGTTTTATACGATCACATTGCGAAAATAATGTTGCACTTGATCCAAATAAACATGGGTTACATCTATCACTAGTCAAACCGAGCTTATATTACTGGTCCGAAAGCGGATTAAGGCGTTTGTTTTCCCGTATGACTACTCAGGCAAAACGACGCAACAAGCAGTTCTCTAGACAGGATACTGGAAGACAGTTGTTAAGACGGCGCGCATATGAAACCTTCCATCATCCAATTGGACGGTAAGCTGTCTGACAACAGTTTGGCCAAGCAATAAGTTGATTAGTGAAAAACGGTTGTATGCAAGCCAAAAAACCGACTACTAATGCAGTGATGTGAAATTATCTGCAACCAACTTGAGAATTTCTTCCCTGCTAGTTGTACGGAGGCCAACATGATTTACCGATGCAATTCCGTTTCTGTGACCATAATAGACACTCTGTTACTTATTGTAACAGACATATTCATATGCTAAAAAGTTTTAAAGAGCGGACGCCACAACGGTTGCTGTAGGACAGCTAAAGCAACTCATACAAAAAACTCTAATAGAAAATGTTTCCGTTAGTTGAAGTTTTCCTGCAAGCTCTACTTCCATTTCAACCCGTTTGTTTACTCGAAAGAGTAGACAAAAGCCCATCACATCGCAGCATAATTAAAGCAGCGAAATCCGTGTCCCGTACGATTAGAACATTCTACTAACCAGACCGAGTCATCCGGCATGGCTGACTAAATAACGCTGGATCACTGATTCTCCCAACTCTTCTCAAAACACCAGATGAAGTGTACTCAGTCATCTGAAAGTAAGATGTGAAAACATTCGCCCCTCCTCTTTTCTCTAGTACTGTGCCAGGAGCCCGGAGAGAGATGAATACTACAACATCTCACGTAACAATCAAAATCCTACATATTTGGCTCTCCGAATTTTGTCCTATCTACTCTTGTACTCCAGTAACGATAGTTCCCATGAAAAATGCACACTACCACTGTCTTTGGAAATCTCTAAGACACTTAAGTTTTGATATACTGCTGAGGTTTTGAGTGAATATCACCAGATTCATGACTTTCAGCATACTTAGCACTTTTACCCGACGCAAGAGATGCGTGAACCTGAAGTGTGATAGACTGTCAACTTGGATACGAAATACCAGTATATATACCAGTATATTTTATTGAACACAAAACATATCGATATATCGATTGAGATCCAAAGATGATATGGTTCATATCATAGATTTTGAGAACAGCTCGGAACATCCCAGCTTGGAATCAAGACTGCTAGATAATTGCTGGATTACTATTGGGTCATGAGAAGTTTATAAGGATAGGTTATAAAGGTGCCTTGACGTTTCAGCACGAAAAACTGTGTTATATCTTTCACAGGTGCCGAAGCCAAGTAGAAACGCATGCCTTATGAACGATCGTATATGAAGAAACATACGAAAGCCAGATTTTACCGATGACGTCTGCCCGTTACACATATGGGTTCTTCAAATTATCTTTGAGGAATATTATTTAGCAAAATAACGTTTTCGCATTTAGCACAACACTGTACAACGTGTTTCACCTTGAGTGTACCAGTTCTGGGCTTAAAAAGACCATAATCTGGCGCGAGTGGCTCATTTATATTGTTTCGGTTGCAAATGATACGCGGGATGCCATTTGCTCCAATCTTATTGTAGGTGCTTAAAGGAACAATCTGATCCGTACTGGGAGACCCCTATACGGCGTGATGAGTTATCATAAGACCTTACTGGAGAGTTTTGTAAGTTATCGTATCCTGAACAATTTTGCATCTATCGATTCCATGTGGCGATCAGTGGCTGAAAACGCACCATTGGTAAAGGTGCATTCTTGTCAATGTATAGATCAGTTACTAATGTGTCAGTGATAGATCAAGTCAATTAATACACGAGTTACATTCAAGACCGAATAGTGGCTGGAGTGTCAGTGATTTAGTTCAACTTCTCTAGCTGATACAGTTCAAGCGAATATATGATAGTACTTTACACGTTTTGAGTATGCTCATGCAAGACAAACAGGCGGCAATTTTAAACTGGTCACTGGAAAAATTTAACACAAATGAAAATGCATATAGATTTACTGGTGATTCCACTGTGATCTTGGACACATGATATATCGGAATGTGAGACGTTTTGTTGACTGGCTTAACATTTTTAGTTGAAGGTCGCCAAAACAATCTTCAGGTAGGGGGTAGAGGTGAGTGAAATTAGATTCTTTCATTTTTCTTTCGAACGCGTGTATATGCTGATCATGAACAGTCATTTCCAGTAGAAGCATTTGATTTATATTATCCGAAAACAGCAGAGGACTACTTGACTAAAGCTATCAGCCTGGAGGTTGTCGTGAAGAAATTTTTAGAATAAGCCAAAGGTTTGTTTAGGTGTGGTTAACATTCCCACCACTTTTGTGAGTATCCTTCATCTAAGATGTTTTGGTACAATGAAACACAAGCTAAACAACAAACATTAAGTGAACTGGAGGTCATTTTGGTGAAAATGGAGAATGATGTTTCCCTTAAAACTTGTGGCGTTGTCAGTAAACAGGAATCTACGCGTCAACCAATTGTTACCTGAAGCAATGATAACTATGTGTCATTGTTATCTGACGCGCTGAAAGGTGGATTTTTTGTGATGTTGGGCCTAGTTGTCTCGGTCCGAGCATGTGACTACTCGGCATAAATTACACGGATTTGTTGTAATCAGCATTCTCATTTTGGAAGCACGCCGGTAAACATGTTCACAAAAATAAAGAGTTGAACATTATTTGCATTGAGCCGCTTTGTTTATACTCTATTATTTTCAGGCTATCTGTCTGTCCACCTAAAGCTGCATTCATCTAATGAGCCCGTACCGAAGCCGTCTTACATACGTTTTTTTCAAGCATAACTATATGGACGACATTTGTCACAACGAACTCCTGAGATTGCGTCATCCGGACTGCAAAAACTACCAATCTGTAGATCGCTTTTGCTACGGCTTCATGTGGAAACGAGTTGCGTCCAGCAAACTCTATCAACGATTTCAACGCCTACAACAGCACAAAGAAAACAAGCTTCAAAGCACTTACGTTCAAATTGAAGAACCTTTTAAAAAAACAAGGGAGTTTCCTATGTCATCTTTAACTGCCTCCGGTGAATGGGATACACTAGGTTACTGAATAGCGATCCTTATCGATTCGTTGATGACATCATCAGAAGGTGCCTTTAGACTTTCACTTGCCTCATGTGCGTGAAGCTCAGTTTCGGCAGCTCCGTCTGATCAGATATCCTATTTTTATTTGTCCACAAAAAACTTTTATGGCCATACCACACCATATAACCTTTCCTTCTAATTGATTTTCTGTTGGACGAAAGAAGGCAGACAAATAACTAAGGTGATGCGAACCGCCTTGATGTGTGCTTTCTTCGCTGTCATTCGTATTCTATTGTGACAGAAGCTCACATATATAGAAAGCTCATCAGGTACAAAACTCTAGCTGGCCACTCTAGCTGGCTACACTACCGATAAAATAGCCTCCTGTGTTCACCATGGAATCTAGTTTGGCCAACTGCCACTGCTAAGGATTTAGCTGCTAAGATTTTAATTGACCACTGAATGCAGATAAAAAGGGACACTTGAAGATTTTCTAAGGTCAAAGCTTGTTATGGTGGGTAGGTGCTTAACTTCTGGAAGCTAAGCTCAACAGAATCATCAAGAGGGATGTTGATGTTTTTAAGGAGAGCAAGGAAGATGGCATCTACCCTTGATTATGTAGTTGGGTACATTTTTATTTGTGCTGTAATGTTAAGGTGTCAAGTGAAGTCCTATCTCGGAAACAGGGATTATTTTTAAAGGATACCATGTAGAATTGTCACTGGTTGGGAAATATCGTCCGTGTTCTGGAGCACTTCTGATCGGGCAAGAATACAGTGGAGATATTGTAAAAGCCTCATTTAAACTACTCACTTAGATGCATGTTCCTGAAACACGCGTAATTTACCTGCTTGTGCGTAGGGGCAGATAGGTAATCTGCGCGTACCAATTAACTGAACACCAAGTGATACAGTCCAGCACAAAGCAGCATCAACCGACCGTTATTCACAAAGTAAAATCATGAAGATTACAACTTTAAGGTGAGAAAATATTTTCAGTCAACCTTAGCGTGCGTCAATAATGGCCAGAAAAAGAATTCGTGCTTACCGAATGCTTGGAGCAGAACGTTGCCACTCCGAACGACCATCAGCTTGGCAGGCTGCCGGTTCCCTTAATGCCAAATGAATGCGTGTAGAGTCCCGGTGGTTAAATGGTTGCGTCGGTCTTGAAGAAACGCTCGAAAAGTGTACATCCGGCCTGCTTACAATATCTAAACAATGTAGAACGAAAACAAGGTGTTCATATTTACCACTGGGAATGGAGCAGCTCACTAACCCATGGCTGATGCATTCTACAGGCAAAATCTAAAAGTAGCTTCTCAAGGTCTCCCTGATTATTCTGTAGGTATAAGAGTGCTCTAAAATATTCGACGATTATGTACTTCGACTATTTTACTGAAGGCATTCAGCGGCCTTCTATGTTAACCAAATTAACATTTCAGATTTTGGCTTCAAAGCCAACTGTTAAGACTCAAACTACCACGCATCCTCCGCTCTTCTCATGGGCTTGTGTGTTTTCCACCGGAGGTGATATTATGTCAGTATCTTCGGCAGCTAGGATGTAGGTGGAAAGTATTTTGCTGATGATCCATGGATTTGTTTGAACGGAGGTTTGATATCTAGTTGATCTGACCAACTCCAACTTTGCCGAATGGATAACGCTTGTGTCTTCCTGTTGCTCCTTCAAGGTCTTATGACTTCAAGTTCCGTCTTCTTCCACGAGCACTCTTTTCTTGTGGTATCAGTAACCACCAGTTTACTAAGGGCGACAATAGTGACTGATACGACTCAGGACTGATGGTCAGTATCGGCGACAAGCCTAGCACCTACTTGAGGAATCAATTAATAACGCATTCACGTTTGTCTAATCATGCCGCATCAAGCTGTGATGTGGTCCTAAGTGGAATGCTGCAGTTAGGAAGTCATTAGAAGTCATTTTGACATGTGTCGAACCAGTCAGGTCAAGTATCTGATAAAAATCGTTAACTATACTTCAGGAAGTACATCCTGAAAGTACAATTTGTCTAATTTATCAAAATTGTAGAATTTTAATTCCTCTCCACGGGAATAACAATGTAGCATCGGTTTAAATGCCAGGTTAGGTTTGCAAATCCAAAGTTGATGTTTTTCTTAATAGGCGCGCAAAAAAATCCTCATGTAAAGAATCGGGTTGTACATGAGAAACACTTAGAGGGCTTGAAAATTTTGTAATTTTGCAAAGCGGTGAAAATAACAGTAACCGAAAAAATTTTACGTCTTTATGTCGACCATTTTATTGTATGCTTTTTTGCAGGTCATAAAATTATGGATTTATATCGCATCCAAGTACGCCACACTCCAAATTATTGACAGTCGTCTTTGTATTATCTACATAGCAGCAGTTTTATTTTTTCGGAATAACGCATTACTGACGGAATTAAACAATTAGATTGTTTTTTTATTCTATATAAAATCAAAGCTGCTTAAATTTGTCGTTCTTTCATCAGATAAGCATGCTTTACACGCTTTCAAATGGATATTTTGTTGCGTGGGCTAAAACACTCATAAAACATGTTATTACTCCTGGGGGATGATTCTGTATCTCTGTCTTAGAAGCAGCATGTTAATTGAAGTAGGTGCTTTGCACCCAGCCGACTGTTTATTACAATACGCCACTTACTATTTCCAGATTTTCAAATTTGCAACTGTGCTAATACAAACGGTCCATATTATTCGGTATTAAATTTAAGTGCTAAAGGTAAAAGTAAAAAGTAACATATGCACATAAATATACTTCATGTCAGGAAGCGGAATTTTTTCAAGTAACGCGACTCCTCAGAGAGCGTTTTTAAGAACACATAACTCAGCCACAAGTGTTCAACAAATGTTTTGTGGGGTTTAATTTATATGGAGAGGCCACCTCAACAACAACTAGTCCAGTTTTTTCCCGAAAAAGCGATTTCGTCGCCAAAGGAAGTTCACAAACCTCATGATTTGTGGCAGAGTATAGAAGAGGCTACAAGTTACAGAGGTCGTATGCCGATTTTGAACAACATAATTTAGGACTCAGGCCAGGGCGTTGGTTGGTCGCAGTTAACTGAACAGCTGGCTAATTGGTCTTACAATTCAATCTCAAAATGAACTCTGTCAAAGGTTATCAAAAGTTAAAAAATAAAGTACGGCATCTCCCACTATCTTTGCCTGATTTTTGGGAACATTTCATACCAAAATCAAGTGCACAATGTGAGCATACTCCAGATAAAGCAGAAAACGTTTATGTGAAATCGTCATCTTCCAGGGGGGGTTTTGTTGTGATCAAGTGGAACGTGAATTACAGCACAGAATCGCTTATACCAACTAGCTAAAATCCAAGTAAAATATTGGTTAGACAAAACCAAACACGGCATACTTGTTTACCACTGAATTTGCTCATTTGAATTAGTGATTCCAGTGTTGGAATAATTTTGCTTTGTTCAAAACTTATTCAGATCGACGAGGTTCCAGTTGATACTATTTATAAACTGCGAATTATTATTATTATTTTTAGATGAAGTTTTGCCGCTGATGTGAAATCTCTGTGAAACCTTCTTCATCCAGTACCCAATTTAGGTCCTCGTGAACAAACCCATTCTAGCTCACTAAGAAAATAAAATACATTTTTGCTGATGTTTTCGTGGTGTTTCATTTCGTTGTGTCACAGCTTCAAGCATTTGATGGCTTGGCAAATTGGAGATTAGGCGCGCTTCAACAGACATTTATGAGTACATTTGTGATCAAACATTGTGCGCTGTTTTGTCAATTCGATGTGATATGCAGCTGCTATATAAAAATTGTATAAACATGATGTTTCATGTAGGGTAATCTGTTTGCATCCAGGGTGCAGATATAGTACGCACCCAGTCTAAACTAGGCGGTCTGGAAACGACTACCCCTTGTTCACTAGGTCCTACAAAAGTCACCTTAACCAAGTCGAGTATTTTGAAAGTCCTAGGCCTACTATGGCGTACTACAATCGCTCGGGGACTAGTAACCTTATGTTTAGCAGACAGGTACCGCAAAATTGCTACGTCTCCCTAAGCTTTGCATCTATGGGATTAATTAATCTTCTGTATTCTCCATGGATTTGAACCAGTATCGTATTTTATTTAGAGTAACCAGGGAGTTTTTCACTATAGAATTTCCGGCAGTAGCGCTGAGAAAACCAACCAATAGGACAACGGAGTAGCGAAACATTTATTAAGTTAAAATATATACTCGAACGTGCAACCAGCGTCCCTTGTAGTTCAGTTGGTAGAACACCTAACCAGTGGGCGGGCGATTATTGTCCCCAGTTTACATTTTGGTACCACATGTCGTTTAAATCATGAATATTTGAAATTTGCATCCACCAAAATCATGGGATTCCATTCTGTGTGTTATCCCGGATGTCAACATTTTTTGTTCTGTGTTCTATCAAATTAGAAAGTGTGTCATAAATTTTCAAGTGGATTAAAAGCTATTTGCAGTGACAGAAGTAGAAGAACAACAAAAGCTTTCCTCAGCTGACAACAGTAGGATACAGCAAATTTCTTTAAACAACGTCATGCGTGGAAAGATGTCACGGTCATGGTTGTTATGCAAAACTTTTGTCAATGTCTCAACAGGTATGTAGTTAAGGAAGCACATGACCTGAGCGGACATCACATGATTCAAATCAAATGCCAAAACCCAATTTCGCACCAGCTTTATTTTACAGTGTAAGACACTAGAAAAGCCGAAATTTGTATCAAAGCCAAGTGAAGTAAATGATAGTGGTTTGCTTTCTGAACGCCAATTGACTGCCGGTTTTCTATTCAGACTCATAACTGATATTTAGCGTGCGTAGCACTGAGAAATTTACGAATTTTCCAAACAAGTGCATAAGAATCGGTCATTTAATGTGGTATAGTGCTCGGCGTTTACATATTTCTACTGTGTACACGCAAAACTAAACAAATCTCAATAGCACGTTCAACATACCCCTGACATCTTTAGGTTAACGAACAATTTTGAGAATCACCAATGGAGTGCAAGTTCGCCTGAGGCATCACACAATCAGAAAATACAAACACTTAGCAGAAGTGATTGGACAGAGAGTTTTCAGTTTGTCCGAACACTGTGCAAGCTGCTACATTGATAACGAGGAATATTGAATTAAATTACGATTTTTTTACCTTTTTTAAATTTTCCACGACGGGACAACTGAATGAATGCCTCTAAATAGAACACGCTAAAAGGCACATCCATCAAAATATTCAAGTACAACAAATGCAGCCAATCGAACCACAACAGACTAAAGACAGTTGAGCTAATACACCGTTTGAAGCTCATCAGAAGGTAGCCCAATTTTTTTATGTTACATATTAATTTTGTTTCACGTAAGGTTCATCCGGATTTAGCTAAATCTTTCACCTATGATAGTCTTCTTCAAATAGATGTGCTGTGTATGGCCATCTAGTGCTCCATTTGGTGTGATATTTAAGATATAATGTTATAGTGCTTGGTTGTTAGTCTGTTCACCGAGCTTGGCAGTTGGATTGCAAAGAGTTCACCACCAATCGGGGTGACATCGTCAGTACGGGGTTGAGTAACTGATGATGTCACCTCGACTGGTGAATAAACGTTCGCAGTCCAACTTCTAAGCTCTGTGTGCAGACCAGCAATCAAGCGGAGCACTCGAGCCACCCATTTCCACAACATCGCCAGTAATCCCATAGTCTAAATGGAACGCACTACTTATCTAGCCACTGGAAAATCTTCGGCAACCCATGACAAGTTTTGCCCTCCTCTTGACGCTTACCAGGTGGGTGCAGTACTGAGAATCTGCCAACCCTACGTTTTACTCGAACCCAAAATGAATAAAATTTCCGACATACTCTCATTTACACAACACCTTGTTTTTGAATAGAGAGTCAAATAAATCCAGCTGAATTTACCGTTTATTGTGGTCTTCAGAAGTTAATTCCTGACTAATTTGGGAGCTGGAGTCTCTTTATTTCGGATATAAACATGCTTATTCCTGCGTCCCATCGGAGATAACTCACTGGTATCTGAACTCATTGCTGTAACGCTGTTTGCAAAGTTATTCGTTTATTTGCCGGATTATT